ATCAGGAATAGAAATGAGGCAGATTTAATAAAAGAGATCACTACTACAATCAGACGGTTGCTAGAGCTCTCTGACACTGCTCTCAGTATAGAAGGCTGTTCTCAGATTGCTCGCAAGCAAGGATTCCTTATTGATGAAGACCAGAGAGACTGTAAGGAAGCCAAAGAAAAGGCACAGATTATAATGGCCCTCCTGGGAGAAATGAACTTATCTCACATCAAGGAAAATTTACTACCCCTTCAGGGACAACTGTGGCATTGGTGGTGTAAAATGGACAAAGAACTCTATCATCTAAGAGAGAAGGGGAACAGGAGCATTGAACAACACAAGAGTGATATTGAAACAGAAAAACAAATAATAAGGCATAAACAGTTGAAAAAAGCTTTTCCTCCCAATGACTTAATGCAGTCCTTCCTACAAATTTTGCAACGCTCAAAAACTCAGGTCAAACTCTACTTTTTACAGTGGCTGAGTGTTTTCATGGATGGATTCACTTCAGAACACTTGGAAAATTTGCGTGAGAAGCAAAGATCTTTCTGGTCAATGATACAAACAGAAAAGCAAAAGGCACAGAAAAGCAACTCCCTGGATCATTGGCAAAAGAAACTGGAAGCCATCTCCATGGAGATCAGTGCCTGTACCTTGGGAATTGAGCAGCTTCTCAGAGAAGTTGGGCAGATGTATGAAGCTCTGGAAGAAACTTCCTGCAAAAGAGATATCGTTTTTCTCTCTCTTCCCCAAATTGCTGCAGACCTCATGGTATCTGGTGTCCCCATTGAGCTGATGGATGGGGATGCATCTTATGTGCCTCTAAAATGGGTGGTGGCTGTATTTGACAAGGTCTCTGAGAAACTTCCAGGCAAGAAACTGTTTGTTCTTTCTATCCTTGGCCTGCAGAGTTCAGGGAAGTCCACCCTGCTGAATGCTCTTTTTGGGCTGCAGTTCAGTGTCAGTGCAGGCAGGTGTACCAGGGGGGCATACATGCAGCTTCTGAAGGTGGAGGAGACCTTCACAGAGGAACTTGGATTTGATTTTCTGTTGGTTGTAGACACAGAAGGACTCAGGGCCCCAGAACTCAACAACAAATCCCAGAATAGAGACAATGAGTTGGCAACCTTTGTCATTGGACTTGGAAACTTGACTCTGATCAATATTTTTGGAGAGAATCCATCAGAGATGCAGGATATCCTACAAATAGCTGTCCAAGCCTTTCTGAGGATGAAACAGGTGAAAATCTCCCCAAGTTGCCTCTTTGTCCATCAGAATGTGGGGGAAGTTACAGCTAAAGAGCAAACCATGGAAGGACGAAGGCGACTAGAGCAGAAACTAGATGAAATGGCAGCAACTGCTGCTGAGCAAGAACAGTGTTCAGATGTATCCCGCTTCAGTGATGTCATTAAGTTTGATGTCAACACTCATGTCCACTACTTTGCTCACCTCTGGGATGGCAATCCCCCAATGGCCCCTCCTAATCCTCAATATAGTCACAATGTCCAAGAACTAAAAAGTAGAATTCTTTCAATGGCTAAACAGGAATTTAGGGGAAATATCATGAAGATATCAGATGTGAAATTGCAAGTTAAAGATTTGTGGAGAGCCCTTGTCAGTGAAAATTTTATTTTCAGTTTCAGAAATACCCGAGAGGTCGTGGCCATGAGCAAACTGGAAACCAAGTATAACCAGTGGTCCTGGAAGCTGAGGAGTCACATGCTGCACTTGCAGAATCAGCTGAACAATCAGATTCAGAATGGGAAAATTCAGACACTCAAAATAAGCTCACTGGACGATCCAATTATAAAAACATATGAAACCATTAAGGAAGATCTTGAGAAGTATTTTAATGAAGACCCAGAGAGTGAAATACTGATTCAGTGGAAAGGAAATTTTGAAAATAAGTTACTAATCCTAAAAGAGACACTTATTTCAGATGCCAAAAGAGAAGCCAATAAATGTATTACTCTTAAAGAAAGTCAAGAAACATTGGATAAGAAAAAGATGGGCTATGAAAATGAATTATTGAAGAGGAGCCGAGAGTTGGCCTTAGATGTAAAAGGTAAAGCACTGAGTGAGGAGGAGTTGCAGGAGAAATTCAATCAACTGTGGAATGAATGGGTCTATGATGTGTCCTCAAATCTTCCTCCCACAATGGAACCTAACATTGAGGTGGATTCTGAAAACATCCTTTTGGAGCATTTCATAAAGGAGAAAAACATGGTGAACTTACTAAAGACAAATTCTGGAAAAAAATTTCAAGTCAAGTATGATGAACATGTCAAAATGAGTAAGACATATGTAATTTACCGAAAACAATTAGAAGCAGGTGATGAAGAGTTAATTCATATGACTACTAACTGCATTCTTTCAAGATTTGATGAAACTGTTGCTAATATTTGGAAGCAACATCGTGATTACAATGTAAATGATTTTCATGAAATTCTGAGAATCATAGAAGAAGAAGTGATATCTGTACCCACGAAGGAAAGGTTCTCATTTACAAGTAAATACAAAATGGAATTAGCTTTGTGTTTATTCCGAAGAGCATCAAAAATTTTTAATGAAATGCATAAAGCATTCAAGACTGCAAATGATCCTGTAATCTCTCTGCAAAGTAAAAAAGATGACTTCTTCATGAGTTTCAAGATCTCCTGCCAAGGAGCAACCTCTATCAAGTCATTTGTAGATTTTCTGTGCAACAAGCTCATTCCTGCTGTGTCTACCACCATATGGAAAATCATGGCCATTAGAATTGCTGAGGACATGCAGGCTACCTGCCCTGAGTTCAATGGAAATAGGGCTAAACTGGAAAAATATATTCTCATCTCTCTGGCAGAAGAAGAAAACTTTGATAATTATTGGGAATACATTCATAACCCAGAATCCTTTTTTAAGACTTATATTGAAAAACATATTAAAAGATATTGTTTGGAAAAAGGAGGTGAAAAAATAAAGACTTTTTCAAAAATAAATTTAGACATCATCAAGAAAGCTATCCTCTGTGCTATTCATGAATCCACAGAAGAAGCTAAAGATAAAAGCAGCACTGCATCTGAGTGGTTGGATTTGTTCTGTGATCACCTGGGGAACAACTTGATCTTTCCACGAACAGACTTGAGAAGCATTGAACACCAGGAGATAAAAGATATTGAGTTTCTCAAAGAAGCCATGAGTGTAGAGTTGGATGCTGCAATGATGAGAGCAGAAGAAAAGTTTTTAAGTATGCCTAAAGATGAAATGTTCCTTGTAATTGAGAAAATCCTCTCTCAACAACTCTGTGGCTGCTGGAAACAATGTCCCTTCTGTAAATCAATTTGTACCAACACAATTCCTGCACATGAAGGAGACCACAGTGTTCCATTCCACCGTCCTCAGGCTGTCAATGGATACCATTGGCATAAAACAGATGAGTTTGACATTGATTTCTGTTCTACTGCAGTGGCAAGTGATACACAGTTTGTTCTGAATGACACCCTGAAATTCCGATACAAGACCTATCGCCAGGCAGGAGGAGATTATGCCACTTGGAATATCACCCCGGATTCATCCTCCCAGACATATTGGAAATGGTTTGTCTGTTCCTTCAAATCAAAGTTAGAAGAAACATACCAGAGAAAATTTAAAAATAAAGGTGAAATCCCTGATTCATGGACCCAAATCACAAAGCAAGATGTGCTTAATGACTTGAAAAAATAACTCAGTTACTACCCCTCAAAATGAATACTTGACACAGAAAACACCTCCAGTATCTGAACAAAAATATCACAATGTATATATCATACTAAAGCACATCTGTCTTACAGCTTGAACCTTCAACGTGCCACTTTTTAAAGGAAATATGTGAAACGCAATCAACCTTTGAGAAGTTGAAGATGTCCTGTAAAAGAAAGTCTTTTTTCTCTGTGTCAGCTCCTTCTGGTTTAAAATAAGATTACTAAAATATGTGTACCTGTGATAAAATTAATTTAAACCACTAATTTTCATACTTAAAAATATTATCCTAAGTATTTTCTAAAGTATATGATGTCTCAGAGGATGTTACCTTAACAGGAAATTTAAACTCATTCCAGGCTGCCACAAAATTTTTATAGAGTAACTACATGGATATTTGAACAAATATCTAAATTTTGAATGGAAACTAAAAGTAAATTGCTTTTACTATGTCAAGTGGTGAGGAAAACTTGTCAACTCTTAATTATGAAAACATTCATGGAAATTTTATAATTTCTAAGCATAATAATACTGACAGATATTATGTTCTAGAAAAGAATAAATTACAGAATTTACTAAGATAGACTTTATTGATTCAGGAAACATTATTAAGCAAATATGGAATAGAAAAGAATTTACTATTTTCTTCAATTAACCACTGTTGTCTTCTTTGCTGGTATCTGAGTATTTCCCTTTTCATGCTACACACACACACACACACACACACACACACACACACACAGAGAGAGCCATTCACAAAGCTTAGAGATTCAAAGCTTGGTGCTATATAGAAGTCTGAAAAGGATTAGCTCCTAGAATAAAACCATTTGGACCTTAAGGTCATGGTCAGAATAAAAATGATGTAAACTCTGAAGCCAAAATTTCTTTCTAAATGAATTCTAAAATAATTAGACCTCCTCCACAAACTTAAAGATCCAATTCAAAAATGGTCATGGGAAATAAGTAGACACATCTCAGACACAGAAGTGCAAACAGCCAACAAGTACATAAACATGCTCAACATCACTGACCATTCGAGAAACGCAAATTAAAACAAAATTGAGATTTCATCTCACTCCAGAAAGAATGACTCTTCAAGAAATCAATCAATAGCAAATGCTGGTGGGGCTACAAGTGGAAAAGGAAACCTTCTCCATTGTTGGCAGGGGTACAAATTGGTACAACCACTATTGAAAGTAGTGTTGAGATTTCTCAAAAAAATAAAACTAAAATCTCCCCAAAAGAGTGAAAGGCATCATATTACAGTGATATATAAATACCCGTGCTTATAACAGCACAATTCATAACAGCTAAATCTTGGAAGCAGCCTATATGTCCATCAACAGATGAATAGATAAAGAAAATGTGATATATATATATATATATATATATATATATATATACACACACATACACAATGGAGTACCACTCTGCCATAAAAAGGATAGACTTGAAGCATTTTTAGGTAAATGTTTACACCTCAAGACCATAATCTTAAGTGAAATAAATCAGGCACACAAGTTTAAATATAATATTACTTCACTTGCATGAGAAATCCAAAGGGTAAATAAGGGACAAAATGGGAGAGAGTTATTAGGCAGTAGGAAGAACTTTTCAAATATAAGGGGAGCAAGAGATGAAAGAAGGGAAGAGGGACAAAAAGGGAATTAAGAAACAAAACTGAAAAAAAATGGAAATAGAGCTTTTGTGAATGTGGAGAGGAAGAAGGTATGGAGGGAGGGGAGTGAAGGGGACAAAAAAAGAATTAAGAGGTCTGTGTACATGTACCCATCCTCCAAGATGAATGGAATCTTTATGTACTGCAAACCTGTACTAATAAAAAACTTTAAAAAAAAAAGAAATTTCCACATTTATTCTAGGATTTCCAATAGGCTAGCCTATAGATTTTCATAATAAACCCTGCTGATCCTTTATGTATGTGGCATTCATTGTAAAGTCTCCTGTTTCACCTCTTGCTATTTGAGTCTTCTCTCTTTTTTTCCCTGTGTAGTCTCACTAAGTGGTTGCCAACTTTATCTCTTTAGAGAACCAACTCTTTGTTTCTTTGATCTTTTGTGTTGTCTATGTAGTCCACTTCTTTTCTGCTATCTTCATTGTTTCTTCCCTTCTACTAATTTTGAACTTGGTTTGTTCTTGCTTTCTATGCCCTTGAGATATATTATTAGATTGTGCATTTAAAACCATTCTTTTTATTTTTAATATACACACTCTTTGCTATAAACTTACTCTTTGTTTTTTGGTGGGTTTTTTTGGTACCGGGGATTGAACTTGGGTCCTTGCGCTTGCGCAGCAGGCAGTGAAACCACTGAGCTAAATCCCCGGCCCCTAAACTTCCTCTTTGTGCTTCTTTTCCTGAGTCCTACAGGTTTGGGTATGCTGTGTTTCCATTTTCATTGGTTACAAGAAGTTTTAAAATTTCCATTCTGACTTCTTTGAAGAGCCACTGTTTGTGGAAAAGTGTTAAACACCAAACATCTGTATATTTTCTAGGTTTCCACTTGTTAACTTCTAATTTTACCCTATTGTGATAAAAATGATATAGGACATAATTCTAGCTTTTTAAAAGTGTTGTTAATACTTATGTGGTGGCCAGTATATGGTCTATCTAGAGAAAATTCTATACACTGATGAGAAAAATATTCATTCTGTGGCTACTTTTCATAATATTCTGTAAACATCTGTTAAATCCAATTGATCAATGATAGAGTTCAACTCTGATGATTTTTAATAATTTTTTCTTTGGCCTGCATCATCTCTCCATTAAGGAAAATGGAGTGTTGGAATTTCCAGTAGTTTGTATTATAGCCCATCTCTCTTTTAGGTTTAAGAGTTTTTTCTCCCTTTCCTTTTCTCTAACACTAGCTGTTCTGACATTAGATGCATACACATTTAAAACAAATATGACTTTTTAGAGGAGCAACCTTTCTTATACATATCCCTATTCTTTCTTTTTCTTGGCTAATTGTTCTTGCTAATGTCTCAAGCACTATGTTGAACAAGAGAGGTGAGAGATGGTATGGTTGTCTTGCTTCTGATTTTAGAGTTCAGGCTTTCAGTTTTTCCTCACTTAATATGATGTTGGCAGTAGGTTTGTCACAGAAGTCTTTTATCAGAATAAGAGCAACCGGACCCCACAACTTTCAAGATTCAAGTCTCACACCCCATTGAAACTTCTATATCTATTTTATTCAGTCTTTTGATCATGAAAGGATTTTGGATTTTGTCCAAGGCTTTTTGTTCATCTACTAAGATGATCATGTGATTTTGTCCTTACTTCTGTTTATGTGATGCTCTATGCTTACTGATTTGTGTATATTGAATCATCCTTGCAGCCCTGGAATGAAACAAACCTACTTGGTCATGACGTATGATTTTTTTGATAATTTGCTGTATTCTCTTTTCTAGTGTCTTCTTGAGGACTTTTACATCTATACTCATTAAAGAGATTGGTCTATACTTTACTTTTTTGGTTGGATCCATGTCTGGTTTAGAATCACTGTAATGGTAGCATCTAGAATGATTTGGGGAGTACTCCTTCCCTCTAAATTTCATTAAAAGGCTTGAAGACTATTGGCCTTAGAACTTTCCTTGGGTTTGGTAGAATTCACCTGTGAACTCATCTATACCTATGACCTTCTTAGTTGTTAAGAATTTAAATTACTGCTTCAATTTCACTGCCGGTTGTGGAATTATTCAGGATTTTTAAATCTTCTTGGCTCAGTTTTGGCAGTTCATATGAATCTATTCTTTTCTTCTGAATTCTCCAGTTCATTATTGAGCTCTGGTTTTTGGCAGTGTTCATTGTGTTTCATCTTTTTCTTTCTAATTGGATTGATTTGGGTCTTTCCTCTCCTATAGTTTTATTAATTTTTAATAAGATTTTGTTAATTTTGTTTATTCTTAAGAAGAGTCAAATCTTCAATTAATTCATTTTATTTTTATCTCAATTTCATTGACTTCTGCTATGATCTCTTTTCTCTGTTGGATGTAGGTCACAAAGCAGGGTTTCAAGTGGACGGTGGACTTCCTGTTGAAAATTGTGGGGTTTGGCTTCTCCCGTCTCTCCCTGGGTGTTCTCCTCATACAGGATGGGTTTGTCAGTTAGCTTTAGCTTCTGCTGCCCCAACCTGTGCTCTGCTGGGAGTTGGAAGCTGCTCCTCCCATGTAGGTTGGTCTTTTACTTGAGGGTTGGGGTGCTGCTCCGGGTCTGCTCTCTCACATGGAGGGAACACTGCTCTGGATCCACTCTCTCATATTGAGGGATGGGTGCCAGACCTGGTCTGCACTCTCATGTGGGGCCGGGTCTGCTCTCCCATGTTTTAATTTTCCTAATGTTGAAGGCAAATGATATGAAAATTTCAGCAGCACTTTTTCAAGAATAACTGGTAAAATGAGAAAATAAAGAGAGGATGAAATATGAGAACGATAAACAAAAAACTACATGTGAGATGAGAAAGGCCTGAACTAAAGCAGGAACAGTTGAAGGCTGGTGCTGTGACATCATCCCAGAACTCAGAGCATCTGAGCCCTCAGGGAACAGAACATGAAGTCACATGGACAGGTATGAATATGCATGAGAGGGTAAATTAAGAAATAAAGATCTGGAAATGCATAGAAACAGCCAACAAATCAATGAAGGATGCTAAACAAAGGTCAGTGAAGAGGCACCTGATATTAGTACAAGTTGATTATTAAGCCCTCCTTGAAGGTAATAATAGCTCAGGATAGAAGCACAAAGAGGGAGATGGAAAGTGACAGCTCACACAGAAGTCATGAGACACACTTTAGAATTTGGACAGCAGACTGCACAGACACCCCTATCTCTGGGCTCAGTTACAGATACCATCAATGTAGGCAGCACAGCCTCAGCAACACCATATGGGTAAGAACAAATCCTTAGGCTGCAGAGCCCATTTACTGGGAGAAGTTTGCAGAAATGGCTAATGAGGAAGCATGTCCTGGAG